ATTTAGTATTGACAGGATGCATTTGAAAGTCACACGCAGTATAATATCCGTATGACTTAATACAATCATTTTATCGATAGGTGTGGGGGAAAAAAGGTGCTTGTGCACACCAAAGACAGCATTAACAATTGTGTAATAAAAGACACCACTTCTAATAGCCTGTTTCCCACCATAGCCTGCTGAATATGCACTATAAGTTCTTTCATTTCAGCAAAAATCTAAATGTGGCACAGACTCGCTGATGGATTGCTGTTTCAGCATTTTATCGATGAAGATTTCTGTGTTCGACTAGCCACGTGGGACATGCAAGCACAGTTACAAACCTGGCTGGAGCTAGCGGCAGCTGCAGGATCAAAATGCATGGTCGTAACATGGATGAAGCCTGAGATGGAATGTGAAGCTAAGTGAAGCTGGCTAGCTTTAGAAAATCCTGAGTATATCTAGCTAGCGTCGTAGTATACTCCTCTATTTCTATTGAAAGTGTTGGTAAACAAGGGTACCCTTCAGTTTTAGATGCGTGCGGAATCGGATTAACGCCATTAGCTGGATCTGGACGGACTCTTCACATTCCGAAAATGCACCAAATGGCGTACGGTGGTTGCCAGTTCTCCTGTCAGTGTACTTCCTTGATTAAGGAAATGGGAATTAGGGGTGTTAAATATGAGATGCACTTTAACCAATGATATGAGGTTTTTACTAAGACATCAGAAGCAGAGGGAACATATAGTGCCTTCAGAAAGTATTCACACCACATTTTATTGTGTTACAGCCTAAATTCAAAATGGATTAAATATATTTTTTTCTCACCATCTACACACAATACCCTATAATGACAAAGCGAAAACATGTTCTTAGACATTTTTGCCAATCTATTGAAAATAAAATTAAGAAATCTCTCATTTGCGTTAAGTATTCACACCCCTGAGTCAATACATGTTAGAATCCCCTTTGGCAGCGATTACAGCTGTCATTATTTCTGGGTAAGTCTCAGAGCTTTCCACACCTGGACTGTGCAGCATTGGACCTATTATTCTTTTCAAAAGTCTTCAAGCAACTCCAGTGTAGATTTGGCCTTGTGTTTTAGGTTATTGTCCTGCTGAAAGGTGAATTCATCTCCCAGTGTCTGGTGGAAAGTAGACTCAAGCAGGTTTTCCTCTAGGATGTCGCCTGTGCTTAGCGCCATTCCTTTTTTTTTTATCCTGAAAAACTCCTCAATCCTTTACAATTACAAGCAGTATATGTGTAGGGTAAAAAGATTAGGTATTCAAACAAAAAATTACGTTCAACACTATTATTGCACACAGAATGAGTTCAAGCAACTTGTTAAGCACATTTTTACTCCTGAACTTATTTAGGCATGCCATAACAAAAGGGCTGAATACTTATTGACACAAGATACTTCAGCTTTTCATTTTTAATTAATTTGTAAACATTTCTAAAAAATATAATTCCACTTTGATATTATGGGGTATTATGTGTGTAGGCATGTGACAAAAAGTCTCAATTTAATCCATTTTAAATTCTGGCTGTAACACAACAAAATGTGGAAAAAGTCAAGGGGTGTAACTACTTTCTGAAGGCACTATATGTACCCAGATCAGTGAGAGGATGAAACATCAGTCTGCATGTTTCATACATACATGACTCATACACATTGGTATTGCATTCACTAATGAATAAGAAGAGTACTTACTTTGGTGGCCATCCCTGCCACTTCAATAAGTATTCCACATTACCCTAAGAAGCAAAAGAGAAAGGCACATTTAGCTAGAGAGCAAATAACACAATTAGTCATCTTTGTTCAAGGAGCATAAAAAGATGACTGTCGCTTTAAAGGGTCGGTGGAGAGATCATTGGGGTAATTTTATTTTCAAATGGAGATTGTACTAGATGACGTCAATGTCTCGAACTCTACTATTGTGATGACGTGATCGCACATGGATGGGTTTTATGTAAAGGTTTTTATTTCTTGAACATCAAAGAGATGGAAATAGGTAGTACTATAACGTGTAAACAACTCGTATTGCGCAACGTGCTGCACAGCAAAGGTCTCCGCTTTGGACCACCCATTGAAAAAAATAAAATTGTACGGTGTGCGTGTATAGAATACTCAATACATAGAATAAAACCTTATTGCATTATAATCTTCCATTTTCAAATCAACTTTACCAAAATAAAGCATAAGTAAATACATTGTAAGAATCATACCATACAAAGCTAGAATATAGGCTCATTATGATTATCATACTATAACAACATATTAGGACTATATTGAATGGATCAAGCGAGCTGTAACATTACGCAGCAGTTTTTTCCCCCACGCAGATACCCCAATCCATCTTCCCGTCCTCTGTTCTCCTCCTGTTGGCGTAATGTACAAATAAACTGCGTAGCTCCCACACATTGGCAGCGCGGACAATCCCACCAATGATACCCCACGATGGAGACCCGATTTTGGTAAACACACCCCCTTTACATTTTACTACGTGAGGTAGTAGTCTATATTCAGAACATACAACATACACAAACCACGGAAAACGAAAAGATTCCACAATCTCTTTATTCAATATTATGTAGCCTATAGGCAACATTATGTGCAGCAAAATCTATTCGAAACTTTTTGCGTGTTAGAATTAGCAGCTATATTCCTTTCACGCAGCAGCATGACAATATTAATATATTGCGTAAACTACGGAAAGTGCGTAGCAATACTTTTGTGTAATGGCTGATATAGACTGTAAGAGTACAGGTAGTACATTGGCTGTTAACCATAAGACACCAAGGATAGGTAGCCTACATTTCTATTCGGAAGCACGGCTACATTACTTACCTTTCTGACTCTCTTCTTGGTTATTGATTCAACTGCAAACACTTGTTCACCTATAGATGACAGTTCCATCGCTCCTATGCTGCTGGTCGCACGCTCAAAACAGGGAACGCGAAATGTTTCTCGTTCTTTCCAAGAAAAATCCCCCACAAATCCCCAAAACTCACTGCAGCGGCTAAAACAAGCTTTTTGCCTACTCTACACCCCTTTTCTATTCTCGGAGTCTTTATCACTTCCTCACATGCACGTATTAGATAGTTGAGCGTTATTTGGGGTTATCTTTCTGAGTTTTGAAAATCTGCGACACATCACTGCCCGGCGCGTGCTTTAATCAGGCGCGCTCCCACTGACTCTAGTACGATGCGCCGAGCCCCCAATAATTTACAGAGAAGAAGAGGCTAAACGAGAGGGTTTACTTCACCCAAGATCTGACCACGAAGTGAGTAATTTTTGTATGGAGGTCAACAAAAAATGCTAATTTGCTACGTAAGGATTATTTGATAGAATATAACTTTCGTAATGGTTAGGTTGTTACGAATGGACTGATATAAGTGGACTTTCGGCAACTTTGAAAAAAACCGACTTTATATTGGAGTTGTGCCTCTTGTTCACACGCTAGAATGGTCCCACCTGATCTCGCCTACTCCCGCTGCCTTCCATCTTTGAGGACATGTATTTCCATTGTTAGAGCAGTCACTCGACTATCTTGTCAATATAATAGATAATCTTCGGCATGCCCGAGTCTTTCACTATTGCAAAACACAGTATTTCAAGAATAGTATTATTCTATAAACTCTTAAATGCGTTTTATGGGTTGTTTACTTTAAATACTGGCGAGGAAGATCTGTCCTATTTTTGGCATATGACTGTTTTCCATATTGTTAAAAATACATATGGTATATAGGTTTTAAAGTGATAGTTCACTCTAAAATCAAAGTTTGGCTGATGTTTCCAGGATAATGATCTAATGTCAAAATAATTGCAGGTCCCATGTGATGCTAGGCTATCTGTTATCAAGCTACATGCCTCTATCCCGATTTTAATAGGAAAGATAGGCACCATCTGATTTAATCATTTTAGTACCTATTTTATTTCCCTATTCCTATGGGATTGAGGCATAAACTGTAACTTGATCTACACAACAGATGGCATGAAACATAGGCTCATCCCGACATTGAACCAACAGCTAACTCGCTTTAATCTCTTAAAAAATGGGGGATCTGATATCCAGGAGGTCTCTGTGTACCTATTTGTGTGAAGGTTAGGAAATTATATAAATAGTTTATTGCAAGAGTCTGGGACTGGGACAGTGTCGTTTTATGTAACAGTTGAAAGGACAGGAAAGATCTGAATTGGAAATTAAAGCCTTCTGCTGTTTAGTTGGGGAATGTCTACACCTCCAGCTGTGTGCAAAACTGGTTCCAAATATGGCACTCCGGCCATTAATTACACAGCAAGGGGCTTCTAAAATAGCTAAAAGAAGACATATTTCTTCTACATGTAGCCAAAAACCAAACAAGATAAGTACAAGATTGGAAAAACAACAATGGTTTCTAAAGGAAATATGATGATGTTTTTCAATCAAAATATGTAGAGCCTCATTAAATAATAATTAATTGATAACACAAATAATTTGCTTACACAGACTTGCCCCAACCACACTCTTATCGTAGGGTAATTTGATAGAATGGTTATTTAATTTCTCCATGTATAACACACAGTGGCGAACCATCATTCAGGGCAGGTGGGGCGTTTTGAGCCCCACCTGTTTTTTTTGTGTGCCTGTTTTGATGTTATTTTGCCATTAATACATGACACATATCAGTTTGCAAACAACGTAATAAAAATGGAGTTAATAAAGCCGCATATAAGCATGGTCTCTTTTTTGCTTTCTTGAGTAAGGCAGCTCCAAAATGCAGGTGTTTCAGCCTAGCTCAGTGCTTTCTGTGGTGTGGGGCAGCCAGCAGAAAAAAATATGGTTGGTAATGTTCTCTAGTTGCGCCGTGATTGGCTCAGTGTTCTGTCACTCATGAGGACACTATGTCACCGCAAAATCTACGGGGAGAGCT